TATTTGGTGGAAAATTCTTATCTTGGTATCGAACATCTTCTGGTGATTCATCGTATACAAGTTGACGAAAGATTCCACGTGTACCGTTGGAGAGTCCGAGCTCACTAGCGACGTTTTCTGTGAGTAAAACTGGCATTCCTGGTACGAGAGGTAAATAGCCTGGAAGATGTTCTGTTTTATTATCAGGTAGTTCAAGTATCGTCTGACGTAATCGTAAATCATCCACAGTTTTTCCTTGAATATAATCTTGAGCAATACATACAATTGGGCTAAGTCCCATTTCCATTGTTTTGTTTAAGACAGGCCTATTGTTAATTTGAGTGCGTAGCGTATTTCGAAAAACCAGTATTGGAGCCTATTAAAAGAAAAGTAATGTAATACACGGAGAAAATGAGTGTGCATACTTCGTTCCATGGCTTTTGTTGTAGAGATACTTGAAGTTTTGGATTTCCTATGACTCTCGTACATAGAAGTTGATAATCTTCTACTGTCGATTGTCCATGTCTTAATCTATTTAGAAACTACAAATATTTTACATCTTCGGTTCGCATTTGCTGCGTTAATTCAACAACGCACTTTATTTCAGACATAAGCTTCTGTGCACACAACATATGTATCTGACGTTCTGTAATTTGCTGTGTCAGTGCGCAGCCATAGTAGAGAGGCTTGTCCAAAACAGGAGAATACTGAAGGCAGTCGCCGAAGAAAATGGCATTGACACTACCAACAGGTATCTCAGAATTTACGTGCTTGGCTGTTTTCACTATTCGATTTAGACGAGCTAAGAGACTACATCCTACCATGCTCAATTTCATTGATTATCAAGTACTTCACATGACGCCACTCATTTTCTAATTTCATATCATCAGGTCTAAATGTACGAGTTTGTTTCTTTTTACTGGTTTTGTGACTTTCATCTAAAAATGAATGGATAGTTAATCCATCAATCTCAGCTGCTGCTATAGACGTTGGGGCGAGTTTGCGCAACATCTTGCCCCGCTTCGCTAATTGGAAATACTTGGTAATTGCACGAATCAACTGAGATTTTCCAGTGCCGCCGCAGCCAGGTATGCACATTAATAATTAATTATCGATAGTACCTAAATATCAAGACTATTCAAAATTTTCAATAACAAAATCAAGAAAATATACCGATATAAGCATGATTTTCGCTATCTAAGTGACTAGTTATAATCCTGAAAGCATTTTTTGCTGAGTATTTAGTGTAAATTGTCTGATAATATCTTGTGTTGTTGGAAATAAGATTGAATTGGTTATAGTCACCGGTGGGACTCTCGTAACTTTCGTTTTAATGGGGTTCGTTGGAATTTCAGTACCTACGACTTCAATCTGTATTTCATCACCTCGTACTTCCAGAGTATCTTCACCTGCAATAATTAAATAGTTTCTTGTTTCATCTCGTCGGGCTTCAATATCACGTTTCCATTCTTTAATCATGGCCGCATGATGCTCGCGAGCTACGACAAATGTATGGACGTCGTGTATGATACCATAATTATTTTCGCTCTGACAACGCGTACGGCCTAAATCAAACTAAATAATTTCGAAATATGGCAGCAATTAACTCACCATCTAGTAATGCAAATCTATCTGTATTATCAATTGCTTGTAATGCATCATGAACATAGTGTTGTTCGTGAGTAACTGTCAATGCAGAGTAAGCGTTTGTGATAGTCTCATTTACGGTGGGGAACATTTGCAAAAGTTGTTCAGAATCGTCTTCTTCTGCATTTTCATCGCCTTTATAGTAGTTAGGCATCACAATAAGGTCAATGCTGTTTTCATTTTGGGATTCTAAAAGAACTTTATGAAAGTGCTCATCTCGATCGTGTTTGCATTCGTGCAAAAGTTCTATATTTTCTATAATCTTAATCGAGTTGGAAGAGATCAATAATTTTCGTGCTTCCAATGGTTCTGACCATGTCTCATTCAGTGCATAAAGGTCCTGAATTAATCGCCATGGAACGAACAATGTTAACAATGCGCTACAATAACGTTCATGCGGTTCTTCTCGTTCGCGGCGAGGTATTTGAGGACCTATCAGGACTGGCACTACTGGAATGGAACGTTTAATTATGAGATGAGAAGTTGATTGTGGATATGCACTGTTAAATGTATGACGTCTATTTGTTTTCGTTCCTTCTGCAGGTAACTGTCAGCCTTGAGAATTGGTTACATTCTTTAGTGAATGACGACCCGATTTGTCGATAAACTTCTTGTGAAAGTGGCTCACAAAGTCATATAAGCACAATGTACTCAGATCCTTTGATCGATGCCAATAGTCAAGACGAGTATTTGCCAAGATATACTGATCACCGTTGTTGGATTTTGTTAGCTCTAATAGAATTTGTTCTTCGATTTCATTTTTGTCCTCTTCTTGTTCATTGTAGAAAGGTGATAAAATATCTAGTAAGTCACATATTAAAAATCTATGCAATTATTTTAAAAAGTTCTACTGTCTATTTTCTCTTCGGCTATTTTTTCTTCGTTAATTCGTGCCTTATTTAACTCTCTTTGTAGATAATTTTCGATTGAGATAAGAAAAAGATTCTTGAATGTATGTGTAGTGTAGTGGTCGCCATAGTTCATTAGATATGATGTAACTTGAACACTTGAAACTTCTTGTTGTGAAGCAATCATGTTGAAGCAGCGTAATACTATTTTACGCGATTTGTCAACGATTTTATCTGTGGTATTAGAAGTTTGTTCCTGCTTAATAGACTTGATACCTTGTTGTGCCAGCGCAAACATATCATGGAAAGCCAGAGTAGATTTTGTTACATAATCAGTTATATAGTAAACTAATGCTTTGGCGTCGTTACCACTTCAGATGAACTTAATGTCCATGATTGATCGACACGCACTTAAGACCCATTCGTTTAAGTTATTGAATTATGGGTGCGATCGACGCATGGTTATTTGATTCATCGTAGGATCAATATTAGAAACCTTCGCTAGTGGACGTGGCATGCACATTTGACAAATTTTTGAACCATTATTTTTGCCTTTAGAATATTTATAGCAAGTAGCAGAATGCTTGTGAATATTGCAGATTTCGACGAATTGAACTACATCTTTGCTAGAGGTTTGACCAAAGTTTTCCAACGCAGGATTTGCCGTTGGGAGACATGCTAGTATAACTTCACTTGCTATCGGTTCAGTTCCTCCTAAAATAAAGTGAAAATTATAATTAAAGGTTCTTAAAAGCTTCAAAACTCACCGTTTAATGTTCTCTTGTCACTTGTTGCACTTGTTCCGTCGTTGGCTTCATCTTAAAAAAGAATACTGATATTCAAAAGTACAAAAAATATAAGTCTCATGAATATATAGTAAGAATAAGTGATTCGAATGAAATGTTTCGCATCAATGAAAATCTTCTGAAAGCTCACGTTTAAGGTAAGGCAGTGATACAATGTAAAGGTGTGAGATAACAACAAGTAGGCAAATGTAAAAACTTTAAATCACAGATTCAAACAATGTTAAATATATTACCTCGAAACAAATCTAAATCTTCTTTTATGACATCTTCTAAATATTTTAGTAAATTTTCATGAAAATCTTGATTTTGAATATTTTCTTTCAATTGTGCTGGAGTATACTCATGATTGAGCCAAATCAAGAGATGTAAATGGAGCAATCCTCGTCCTTGATTCTATACAGTGCCGAAATATGCTTTTGCAGGACCAAGTACACCGCCCAGCACTAGGCTTTTCAAAACGTTTTTTATTAAACAGTTGAAGAACTTTGCAGTTGCAACAGGGTGCGTCGCAATAATTTGAGCACGCTTATAACTTGTATGCGGGACTTCTGGCAGAACGTTATCAAGGTCGAGATCGATACCTCCAAAGAAAAGTGCCATTGGACTATGGATATCGACCGGATTGATTGTGAGGAAAAGACTAGGAAGGCCAAGATAAAAACACAAAGAATGAATTTTCGTACGAAGAGCTGATCGTGAAAAAGCTGAGCCCATGACATGACCACCAATAATTTTGGTATGCTTCATCAACGGATTTATTCTCTCGTCAGTAACTTTTGAATAAGGTGCTTGTGAGATATTAATAAGGGCTCCTGCTACATCTTCAGAACTCAATGAGTTAAGAACTTGTGCAGATTGTTGAAACCACGGTCTTGTTGTCATTAATTGGGCATGGAAACATGCTGTTCGATGTTGTAAAATATTGAAGACAACAAATATAAATGAGTAGTTTTGTTCAAAGCGGTGATCTGCATACGAAAGAAGATATCTTAGGTGCTCACGAAAATTGATTCGAATCGGCCGAAAACCATCATCAAGCCCACCACGTCCATATGGAAATAGTGTGGGAAAGATTCCTAATAAAAGGTTTGGATTAGAATATTCATTAGCTGGTTTGTTGCCACAAGAAATTATGTAAACAATGTCTTGTGAGGAGTTATGCTCGGTGTCTTTTTCGTATGTTTTTTCTGACGCTTGTGCTTTGATTCGTTGTAAAAGATGTTCTGCAACGTCATTCGATGACACTTTGGTACCATTGACATCTAACATAGCACTATAACATAAACAATATCAGTGCAAAAATGTGAATATGTCTCTTTGTTCTACCTTGAGATTATGGGTATAGCTGTTGTATTGTTAAATTTAGATGCATTGATCAACGGATCAGGAACATAACTTGCTCTTTCATTTTCAACTGCTTCTACATTAGTAGAAATCTCCATGGTCGCCCACAAACACTCCGGTACATCATCGTCAGGTAATTTGTTGATTATTGATTGATTAATTGTAATATTACGATATGGAGGATTATTCTGTCTAAGCCATTGAACTGCTTCGAAAACTTTCTTTTTTCGAACGGTCAAAACATTTTTTAACTGGTTTCGTTGCGGAGGACGACATGCAACAAAGATTATCTTTAGAGAATCACATAGACCATCTAAATCTAGTAGTAAGGTAGTAGCTATGTTAATAACATCTTGGGGAAAACTTATGCAATTCTCTTTAAAGCTGACTGAGCTGTACTTGTCGAATGAAAAGACGAATGTAACTTGACAATGCAGCTATTATGCCTATAAAGAGCAATCAGTTTTTGCTCAGGAATTGTTAGTCCTTGTAGTTCTTCTGGGACATCTTCAGCCCATATTTTGTTGGCAGGCGAAAATTTTGGTATTTTCTCTTTTATTAGAGATGACCAACACTTTGAACAAATATTACAGTGAACCGAACACCGTCTTTTTCTCACAAGAGTTTTATGCAATCCTGCTGTATAAAAAATGATACAGTTCACAGAAGTAAACGACTTTTTAGTCACTGTCGATTGAGCATTTGTATCTGAAATTAAAAAGATTATTTTCCGTTTTTGTTTACGTATGAGAAAGATCCACCTTCTGCTTTTTCTGTCTGAATCAAAGCCATCGCAAGGTCATCACTCATGTTAAGATTATCATGTGACTGGAATGGATGCGTTTCCTGCATTCCCGGAATTATGCTATAAAAATCATCGGGTAATTTCAGTACTTCAATAGACAGTGTTTTATTGAATGTTATGTGACGGAGATCATGTTTATAGCAACGAACATTACAAATACCGCAAACACATTCTTGCAGAGAACTTATCAACATATGTTGAATAAAGTTGTTTAGACAGCTTTTCTTACGTTCAATATCAATAGGTTTTGGCCATTCAAAGTCGTTACTTTCTTGTTGATGCTTGTCACTTTATCGAAGCCACTTTCTCTGGCGAGCATATGCACGCTGCCCTTCGAGTTCATGAGATGTGTAAGCGGCTTGTCTTGCGGTACTTCCTTTGCAAGCTACCACGCGCTGTTCTTCAGCTTGTTTTGGTGATGCAGTAGCTCGTTTATTCATACTTCGTTCGGCAGCAAGTGTTCGTTGTAGCTGAATTTCTTTCGATGTAAAAGTAGCTCTCCATGCTGCAAATTTCTCACGAGTTAGCTCTTGCTGTACTTCTGTCTCAAGCCATGGTACGTTCATGTTCAACTTGTTCTGATGTTAAAGCAGCTCTTCTAGTTGCACTTCTTTCTCGTGCAAGTTTACGCTCTCGTTCAGCTTGTTATGGTGTAAAGACAGCTCTTCTGGTAGCGCTTCTTTCCCTTGCAAGCATCCGCTGTCTTTCAGCTTCCTCTGATGTAGCTTGAGCTCGCTTAACAGCCATCATTTGACAAGCTTGTAATCGTCTCTTGTCAATATTCGTCTTCTTCGCGCTCGTGTGAGTCTCACTTGGTTGTAGTCTTCGTTTAGTTCGAGAAGTTGTTGCGGTCTCCTGGCTTACCGTGGAATAAATCGATGATGTTTGAAATTGTTGAATTTTATCATTCTCCGCATTAAAATCAGGAATGCGAATTTGAGTTAGTACGTTATTCTTCGTTGTTGAATTAGTTGGCGTCTGCAAGTGAAAGTGCGTTTTTTTGTGTAAAAAGCTGTGTAATAAAATATTAAATTCACCAAGTCTGAACCAATGGCTTTCGCTTCAGTCAGGTTATTTTGATTCTGAGACTCGACAGAAGTAAAAGTGCTACGAAATTATTAGGTGTCCAATTACCAACATTACTTATACGTGCATCCCTTTCACTTTGAGTATGCGACCAGGATATATAAATTGTTTTAGATGAAATACTAGATTGAATATGCTGAAAACAACTATTCATGATGTCTAGATCGACTCGATAATCAATTCTTGGATATATTATTCGTATATTGCATTGAAGGACATTAATCAAAGCTGCGATTTCATAAAGTTCCGAGAATGAAAAATGATGGGTGATATTTTTTATCACCTCATTGAGTGGTTCAGCAATATGTGCAAGGCGATTGCTGTAGAGAGTTTCATTTTTTACGAGTTCTATTACATTTCGAACTAGAAAGATTGTATTAACAGAACTGGATAGTAAAGTTGGAAGTACTTACCTCTCAGTTCGCAAGATATCAAAACTGTATTATCAGTCAAACATATCATAGAGTTATAGAGACAATTGCCATCTGCAATGACGTTAATTGGAACCTTATTTTGAACGCCTAAAGATGTCCGCTGAAGATATGATTTGGCTTCTTGGTCTACCTTATGAATAACTAGGTTGAAATGAGTAACGGGTGCAAATCGTATCGGTGTTAAAAGCAAGTCCATCTAAATTGCTGAGATCATATGAATCAAAACCTCTTTTTCGAAAACTTACGACTCCAATTTGTCCACATATAGCCTTAATTCGATCATAATAGCCGTCGGCTATGGATGCCTCGTCAAGTTCCATTAGAAGTATTTTAAATGTTTTAAAATGATTTGTTTTGCGACAATTTAAGCAGCAAGAAGCTTTTGTCAATTTAGAACAAAACAGACACTGGTGGGTGTGGATGTTGGTGGGTGTAGGTGTGGACGTGAGATGCGGGTTGTAGGTTCTGGTGTTCGTGTAGATGTCCTCATCATGCACAGACACTCACAGCCACAGGCACCCATCGCCACCCACTCACACCCAAAATGAATTCTCTTCCTTAAGGTTGGGTTTTGCCCATACGTAGACCGAACATACATTTTTCAGATAAACAGCGTAGGTACCTCAAAAAAAAATTTGATAAAGGCGTTCCCGGTATGAAACGTTGGAAACCGAAACAGTTCGTATTAGATATGGAGACCTTGAAAGAAAACGGCAAGCTTTACTTTTCGGCTATCAAAGTTTAAAATGAAAATGAGGTTTGCTCATTTTTCTGTCAATGAAGACGCTAACGACAGATGATTGCCACTCTAAATTTGTCAGGTAGTAAAGTTGTCGTCGACGATAAACCCGTCAAAAATACTGGTAATAATATTGAGAACGAGGAAATTGACTTTGAACTTGTAACATTAGACCAAGATTTTCAAGATATTGAAATTGCTCTATAAGATATCAAAATGTTAGAAAGCTTTAGTATGAATGCTAAAATGCCACTTGAATCATCTCTTTAGATGTATTCCTAGCTACAATCGCTCCTTTGACATTAAGGAAAACCAAATAAAATATAAAACAGAACCAGGTTTACCGGATTAGGGCTGAGTCATTCTAAATAAACGGATGGGTACGGTTTTACCGAATTATGTTCGCGTGAACATACCAATGGGCACGGATTTTCTGAATAATGACCATTGATAAAGAATTATATTGTTTTCATGAGTGCGGTTTTTCCGAGTACCCCTCATAGACAATAAAGGGACCTGTCTTTTTCGAATAATGTCCCTCCTCTTCAGGCATCATGGGCTCTATGCACCGAAGAGGAGAAACACGGATAAGGTTCCCCTTAAACGTGGCCAACAATCCTGCGTCTTGTATAAAGTATGTGTACAACTATTTAAACAATACTTTAACTTCCACTGAAGTATAATTGAACGTTAATCGACTTGTAAAGTGTTTTCAGCTCTTTTGCATAACATGATGCTTCTATAAGATCAGCTAATGCTAACCCATTTTACCTTTGTAAAATACGATAAATGACAATTCAACAGTTTATATAGACGATGTGCTTATTGAAATATATCGTACTTGTGTGAAAAATACTTTAGATATATCATAGTCTTCTTAAACTTTTGTTTGTTTTTTAGAAAAAATATTCATAATAATTTTTTCTCATTAACATTGTCCAGTTGATCAACTTTATAAGCCATTTTTGAACATCATTCGAAATCTTTTTTATTTTTTTATAACCATTTTGTAGAGGAAAAAAAGTCGTACAGCACATGAAATATTCAGCGCGGGATCTCTTAAAATGACTATATGAGAGCTGATACACTGTAATATATTGCTAAAAAATCGACTCATTTTTCCACTAGCAAATAACGAGTTATATATAGTATTTCATAGATAACTCTCGATCAGTCCATGGAAACCTAACATATTAAAAGATGATTTTGTTCAGCGTCCGAAGCCGTATCTTTTGGTACATTACACGAAAAATTTCATTAAGTTATTGTCATCTAAAAGAATCTTAACTTTCTATGCAGGATTTTTCACAGTTTTCCTCAACCAAAACTCTTACCCCGCGATAGGTGCATTCGAGCTAACTTTTCAATGGCTCAACGAAATGCTCTAAAAGTTTGGATTTAGAGGTTTTAGATGATGCTGAACAAAATAAGAACATAAAAATTTCAAATTTTATCGAGTACTTCGATATCTACCACAGTACTCGATCATCGCACGAACTCTCTCTTAAAAGCTTGAAGCCTCCGCATGGAAGAAGCAGTTTTGTCAAATACGATCTGAAACGAGTGTTGAACTCTTTAGAGGTAGAAATATGGACTCACCTCTCTTTCCTCCCCAGAGACCGTGACAGACAAGGTCTGGAGTTTGTTTATCGTTTCTGTTTTAAGTTAGGAAATACTGATTTTGTCTTTTAAAACTCAATTATTAACAATGGAACTGTTTGTTATGTCAGACGATTTCCTTAACTATTTTGGTGTCAAATGATAGCCCTCAAAGAGAAACGACCAAATTAAAAATCTGAGCTGCCAATGTCAAGTCCAGCTCGAGATATTCGAATTTGAAGGTATTGAAAATTAAGATATTTAAGAACAACAGAATTTTTCGAGTTCAATTTTTTCGCAGTATTAACTATTTTTTTAAGTAGTGTTGCGCAAATTTCGATATTTTCTGAAGGCTCAGTAATATATAAATGAGATAAAATAGCCTTCTTGTAAGAACAGCAGCTAGTACATAAGATGTCGTAATTAAATGCGTCGATGCTTCAATATTCGATATATCGATATTTTCTCTGAGATTGGTTCAGTGTTGTTGCAATTGAATGTGAGTTTGTAGAAACATTCTTCCTAATCTTCTATAAAATATATTGCTTTGAAAAGATTACATTAATTCGATAAAAGTATGAGTCTAGTGAATATCGTAGAACATCTTCTTGATTTAACTAAAGCTGAATTCGGTTTTGAAGCTAAAACAACAACAAGTAATGAAATATTTGCTTCACAGCAGTTATTTGAAACACTCAAGGTTTTCAAAAACAGCTGTTTCAACGAACTCCATACCTATGACTCTCTTGAACTTAACGATGAGTACGACTATATGATGGATGAAGAGAGTAATGATAAATCGGACGATTTTGAAGAAAAACAAGATCCAGATATTAGAAACCATTTCACTTTGAAAGAAATGAAAAGTATTGTAGAATGGGTTGATCAACATCCAAATTATACAATTGCCACTATATCGTATAGATTTCGAAAAATTAAATCCATGACTATATATCAAAAAATTCAGAAAGTATATTAGTCGAAACGGCTTAAATCTCGAAAAACTAAATAAATCAAGAACTTCACGTTAAACGAATTTTTTATTAAAAGAGTCATTAAAAAAGAAGCAGTCCATGACGGCTCATTCTCATAAGAGATACAATTTTTCTTTTCTTCTACAAAGAGTATAGACATACTGTTATAAGTATTTTTCTGCATAGCTATTTCAACTTTAGCTAGCTATTTCAACTTCTTTTCCTAGGTTTTAAATACCTTTAACTATTTAATCATTTGTACAGCTATTTAAACTTTAGCTAGCTATTTAATCTTCTTTCCTTAGGTTTTAAATAGCTTTAGCTATTTAAATATTCGCATAGCTATTTAAACTTTAGCTAGGTATTTAATCTTCTTTTCCTAGGTTTTAAATAGCTATAACTATTTAAACATTCGCATAGCTATTTAAACTTCTCATTATCTTCTGATGTATAGCTATTTGAAGTTTAGCTGCCTATTTAATCTTCTGTTTCTAGGTTTTAAATAGCTATAGCTATTTAAGCATTTGCATAGCTATTGAAACGTTAGTTAGGTATTTAAGCTTTCACTAGTTTTTGATACACTACGGTGGTGATAGTTGTACAGCTACTAATCTTGTTGGTGTGCCATGATGAATATGTATTTAAATACCACAGCAATATTGAAAAACAATGATTTGTCGGCGGAAGTTAAGTTAAGTGAATTTTTAAAAGTCTCCAACTCATGTTAAGTCTAG